AAAAAAAAAAAAAAACCACAGAACCCAAAACCATAATAAATACTCAAAAGACCTGTAAGGTTAACCAAAATTTAAAAGGCTCCAATAAAGCACTGGGAAACAAAGACCACTCCCCACACATCAAATGCTGTTTTTCCATTTTCATTTACTACTGGGTGTGGCAAAACCACACAAGAACATAGAAGTAGCATTTTAACCATTGTTAAACATACATTTCTTTAGGGTTAAGTGTATTCACATTGTTATGAAGCAGATCTCCAGAACTTTCTCATCTTGCAGAATGGAAAGTCCCCATTCAATATACAATGTCTACTCTTTCTTCCTCCCTCCAGCCCCTGATAAGTTGAAATTTTAAAAATTGGGCCTATTACCTTAAATGATCATGTTTTGTATTTGAAAACATGACTATACGTGTTTTTGTTAACATCAAATTGATAAATATATATATATATATATATTCCAACAAATATATTCCAGTAAATATCAGGCTGATGGGAAGACAGTTTAGTTCAAAGTTATAGTCCCCAAAAGAAATTATTTTTCAATTTCCAATTTAAAATGTATAGTCCCAGAAAAAATGACTGCCTTGACTAGAGAGAATCATTAGCTTTGCAAAGTTTTCTAAAACTAATCTTATTAACAGAACCTCTAAAAAAATTCTCTAAAACGTTTTCATTCCATACACTTAAACAACAGATGAAAGCAGTCAGTCATGTCAAATCTATAATAAATAATGTAACATTGACTGAGCTGAGAAGAAGGTTAATATCAACTCTTGACTCCTCCTGCCAGTGGACAAGTCTCTAGGTCACCACATGTTGACAGTGGTAAGCATGCTTCTTAATATCATTTTATTTTTAAAGAGGTCACTTGTTTAGAGGCATAATTTGTAAAACAAGATAACCAAATTAAATGAGCCTTTGGCTTGTGGAATTTCTTAGGAACACCCACAAACACCAGTGTCAAAGCCCTTCTACTTCTTGTAGGGTCAAGGTGAGAGCACAGGTATCGGAACTACAACCTGGGTCTTTAAAAAACGCCCCTCACCTGCCCCACACGTCACCACTATGACATCAGAGGGGTGGGCCAATCATTTGGCTATGGAACATAGTATAATTTACATATGACTACCGATTGGCCAAAGGGCGTAAGCCCGCCCCTAAGATGACGTTTGTTTACAGATAGTTTCCAGAGAAACCTCAGTTTCTGCTGGCGGTTAGACAAGCAGAGTGTCGCTCCTCTACCGTCCTTAAAAATGAGCTAAATTTGGTAAACAATCGGGAGATTTGGTCCTGGCTGTAGAACTAATTCAGACTACAGACTTCTGGGTTGTGTGTCCAGTCCATTTTCCCAGATAATACTAGCAAACCTGGGAATTTGTTAGTATTACTTAAATGAGTTCCAGAAAGAAAGGACCTCATGTTCGTGACCAACATTTTGGGGAAGGAGATGACTTCGGAAAACAGACACCAAGCTACAGGGAGGTCAGAAAGGTGAGAAATCGCCCCTCAGAACAAAAGTCAGCCAAGCCAAGGAATCGTCAACCAGCTCTTCCAGGAAGACCACAGGGTTGCCCTGCCACAAAAAGTCGCTCGGTGGAGAGAGGTCGCTCCCATGAGAAAACCCGAAGAACAGAGAAAAATCCCTCCCCCGAGAAGTATCATGTTGCAGATAAAAGTCCCACTGCTGAGAATCATTGCACTACAGTTAAGAGCACCTTGGCTGAGAAACCTTTGTTGGCCGAGAAACATCGTGCTACAGAGAAGAGTTCCTCTGCCAGGAAACACCATTCTCTTGGAAAACGTCGTACTATAGGGAAATTTTCCTCTGCCGGAAAGTCCCCCTCTGACAGGCGCCTCCCTAGGAAGGAGCGTCACTTCTCTAAGAAAAGACATTCATCTGAGAAGCATCTCTCTGTTAAAAAAGATCTTCCCACACAGAGAGGTCGCCTTATCAAGGAAAGCCGTCTTACAGAAAAATGTCACCCTACAGAGGAATGNGAAAGCCGTCTTACAGAAAAATGTCACCCTACAGAGGAATGTGGATTGGCTGAGAGAGGCCGCCCTATCATGAGAGGTCGACCTGCAAAGAAAGGACTTTCTACTAAGAAGAGTGCTTCTACTGAGAAAGGTTACTTTGATGGGAGAGGTCGCTCTACTGAGAACCATCACCCTTAAGAGAAAGACCCCTCAGTCAAAAAATTTATTTCTGCAGGGAGCGATCACCAGATACAGAGAGACCATTCTGTGAAGAGAAGACTCTCCACCACAGAGAAGAAAGGTCACCCCATAGGGAGAGTTCGGCCATCTGAAAAAAGTCACCTGGCAGGGAAGGGTCGCTCACCAGAGAAGACTAGCGCTGCAGTGAGAGATCGCCCCTTCAAAAGCTGCCCTGCCCAGGAGAGTCATTTATCCAAAAAGGGTAACTTTGCAAAGAAAGGACTATCTCCTGGAAAAGATCACCGCACAAGGAGGCTTTGCCTCAGAAAAAGTTATCCTGCAGAGGAGGGTTACTCATTTGAGTGGGGCAACTCTCAGGAGAGAGGACCTTCTACACGTGAAGATTGCCCTTCAGGTATTGCTCGCTCTATCAAAAGCCTCCCTGCAAAGGAGAGTCCTTCATCTGAGAAGGATAACTCTGTAAAGAGAGGACCATTTCCTGGGAAAGATCGCAGCACAAGGAGGCGTCACCTCAGAAAAAGTTATCCTGCAGAGAAGGGTTACTCATTTGAGTGGGGTAACGTTGCTGCAAGAGGACCCTCCGCAGGTGAAGATCACCCTGCATGGAGAGGTCAGCCTCAGAAGAAAAGCTGCCCTGCAGAGAAGGGTCGCTCAGATGAAAGGGGAAGCTCAGCAGCAGGAAGACCCTTTGCAGGTGAAGATCGCCCTGCAGGGAGTGGTCAGCCCATCAAAACCTACTGGGCCAAAGAAGGTCATTCATCTGAGAGCGGTACCCCTGCAAAGAGAGGACCCTCTCCCGGAAAAGAGGGTCATGCAGATGAAAGGGTCAATTATGCAGAGAGAGGATCCTTTGCAGCAAAATATTTCCCCACAGGAAGTGGTCAGGCTCCAAAGAAAATCTGCCCTGCAGAGGTTGGTCACTCAGTTGAGAGGGGTAACTCGGCAGGGAGAGGACCCTCTGCAGGGAAGGATGGCCCCACAGGGAGACACAGGCCTCCAAAGAAAAGCCAACTTGCAGAGAAACATCTATCTGCACTGGGAAGATGCCCTCCCCAAACAAGTTGTCCTGCAGAGAAAAACCTATCTTCCCAGAGCGTCTGCTCTGCAGAGAAAGTGCATGCTGGGGAGAAAAATCATTTTGTTGAGAAAAGACGCCCTGCAGAGAGAGAACTCTCTGCAGAGAAAGGTCAGATGGAAAAGAAAGTCATCTGTTTTGAGAAACATCATTCTGGGGAGAGAGGTCAGTTGTCCCAAAGCAGCTACACTTTCCCTGTGGGGAAAGGTCATTACTCCAGGGAAAAAAGCTTTCCTGTGGAGAAACCCTCTTCTTCAGGATCTGCACCTATCATGCCAGTGCCAAAGAACATGCAGAATATTCGAAAAAACAGAGTCGGCAGTGGTACCAGCACAGTACCACAGATTTCTCACCAGAATGTGGCTGGGACTGTCACCACTGGTCAATCTGGTCAGGCAGGGATGGTGAGAATGGGAGTTGAATTGAAGTTGCCTGATGAACTTAAGCCATGTCTTGTTGAGGACTGGGAACTGATAAACAAGCATAAGCAGTTATTCCAACTCCCTGCTGAGAAGAATGTAGATACTATTCTCGCGGAGTATGTCACTTTTGTGAAATCACAGGGAAAGGCTGATGATAGGGAATATTCTGTTGATGAACTTGTATATGGAATAAGAGAGTACTTCAACAGGATGCTGTGCACCCAGCTACTCTGCAAGTTTGAAAAGCCCCAGTTTGCCGAAATCCACCTGGCTTATCCTCATATTCCAATGTCTCAGGTTTATGGGGCTCCACACCTCCTACGATTATTTACTCAAACTGGGACTGTATTGACCCATTCCCTCCTTAGTAGGCATAGTCTTATGCAAGTGTCTAGGTATCTGCACGATTTCCTTAAATACCTAGCCGAGAATTCCACTTCTCTATTTAGTGCCAGCAATTACAAAGTGGCTTCTGCTGAGTATTGTTGCCAAGCCCTGTAAGGGTCAGCTGACCACTCCCTGTTATGACCTGGAGCAGTAAGCATTTGTGTGTTTGCTATTTTTATTATAGCTGTTCTTGAAAATTGTCAAAGTATAACAGGGTTTAATATTTCAGTCTGCTTATTATTGTGAACATAAATAAAAATATTAAATGTTTTATCAGTATTTCAACAACAAATAAATGTTCACTAAAAGAATTTGTGTTGCTTATTTGACAACATTGCTTGAATGTTGGTGCTTCTATTACTTACACATTATGGGTTTCTACTAAGTTTTCATATTACATGATGTTACATGTACATCATATACATATTACATGAGCATATATTACATGAACACATATTACATTACACACATTACATCATGTAATATGTATACATATTACATGAACACAGAGGACATGGCCTCATTCCTAATGCTAAAGGTTCAATATAATGGATATACTCCAAACATATGCATACACATAATTTAAAATATAAAATTGTTTAGAAATGTATAAAGATTGGAGATGTAGCTAAGGAGGCCCTGGGTTTACTCCTTGGTTTCAAAAGTGAAAGAAATGGGAAGAAAAAGAGGAAGGACTGAGGAGAAGGAAAAGGAAGAATGGGTATAAAGTGAAAGGGAGGCTAGAGAGGAGGAGGTGAGGAGGGAGAGGTAGTGAGGGGAGGAGAGAAATAGGTGGAAAGAAGAGGAGGGGAACAAAGAAAAGGACAGGAGATAGAGGAGCAGGAAGAGGAGGAGGTGAAGGAGAAATGGGAGAAGGAAGACAAGATGGGGAGGAGGAGGAGGAAAAGTAGATGGGAGAGAAGACAATGGAGGAAGAAGAAAAGAGTGGGAGGAGACAGAGAAGGGTAATGAAGAAAAGGAAAGGAAGGAAAAGAGGAGAAACACGAGGAGAGGCGCATGAGGATATGGAGAAAGATATGGATGAGGAAAAGGAGATGAGGGATAGGAAGGGAAGAAGGGAGGGAAGAGAGAATGAAGAGAAAGAGGGAAAGGAGAAAGATAGGGAATGAATGGAGGGGTGGAGAAGGAGAGGAGGGAGAGTAGAAAGAGGAGGGGGAGAGGTAGAAGAGAAGGTGAGGGGGAAAGAGGAAGAGAGGAGGGGAGTTGAGGGAAGAAAAAGAAGAAGACAAGAAGAGAAGAGGGAGGAGGAGAGAGGAAGACGAGGTGAGAGAAAAAGAAGGACGGAGAAAGGGGAAGAAGAGGAGAGGGAAGAGAAAGGGAGAGGAAGATGAGAAGGTAAGGGAGGAGAAGGAGGAAGAGGAATGGAGGGGATGGGAGAAGAAGAGGAGGAAGAAAATAAAAGGGGAGGAAGAGAGAAGGAAGAGAAAGAGGGAAAGAAGGATAGAGAAAAGGATGAGAAAGAAAAGTAAGGGAAGAAGGAGAAAGGAAGGAGTTGTGGAAGAGGGAAATAACAGATGATGGAACATGAGATGAGAAGAGACAGCAGGGAGGAAAAGGAATGGAGGAAGGGGAGGAGTAGAAAAATGGAATAAGAATGGGGAGGAGGAGAAAGGGGGAAGAGAAAGATAACATGAGGGAAGAACAGAAGAAGGAGGGGCAGTAGGAGAGGAGGAGGAAGAGAAGTAGTAGAGGATGAAAGAAAAGAAGAATATAGAAGACGTGGTAGCAAAGGAAAGGGGAAAAGATCTGTGTATGGCCTTGTCCCCACCAAATAGAAACTCCCTTCTACGGATACCCCAATTCCTATCAAACAGCACATATAATTGTTCATGCCCTAGATCCCATTTTTATGCCCACATTTCACCTGGTACTGTTAAATTTGAATTACCATTCAAATTTGCCAGAGTGGGCACCAGTTTTCTTAGAGAGGCAGAATATCAGAGTCAGTGTGCCAAAGAGCAGTGACAGGCAGGTTTTGCCACATCCACGGCTGTCTCGCCTGTGTGACAAAATGCCTCTCAGGTGGTGGCCATCTCAAAATGAGAGGCTCGTGCTTCTTGGAGCTTGGCCCCCGATGGCTCCCTGGCAGTCTGCTCGAGTTGAGGTGCCTGATTAGCCTCAACGACCTCGTTCACTTTGTTCCTGGCGATGGTTTCTTGCATTGACTCTGCTATCCTTTCTTCTGTTCTATTTTTCTCTTGACAAAAACTTAATCTGTTCAAGGAACCAGAAAACATTTCCAACGGCTCCTTGAATACGGAGGAACTGATGCGTCAGTTCCCTCCCTTGATTCAGGCCATTAATATTATGATTAAGACTCTGGCTCGCTCTCTGGGGGAATTTACAAATACCCTAGAACAGAAAGAGCTCATGATAGGAGATTTGGTAGAAGATGGGCAAATTATGAAGGAAAACGTATGGGATGGCATGAATTACCATTTATGGAGAGGCTAGCCAGAATGAGAAAGCCCTGGTACATTTTAGATAGGAAAGAAAGACAAGATATTCTTGATAACATGAAGCCAGCCATTCAATATTGAAACAAACCCTGGGGGTGGAATCCTGAAGAATGGTGCTTGGGTTACCTTGGTTACCTTGAAGGCAGATATGATTTAGGGCCATGACAAAGCACAGTTAGTGGTGTGAGACTAATTTCAAAGAACAGCTCTGCCCACCTGGCCCTGACCACAAGACTTGCTGAGAATAATCAATTGTCTGTAATCATTTTTCTATGGAAACTTTTATGTCTACCAACTTCCTTCTGTAATCTCTTAAAAGTGATGCTTGAATTTTAGTAAGGTTGCAGCAGATTCAAATCTCATTAGAGTTGTGTCTGTCTGTCATTCGCCGAAGCCTTCACCCCTGTTCTCCCTCGGTCTTCAATCTCCAAGAGAGTCAGTCCGCAGCAAGGTTTCTACTGCAGAAGGGCACCTCAGGGCCACCCATTAGCTATGAGCTCAGACTGATGAGCTTGCTGATGACATACAGCATCCCCCAAAGGATAATACCACAGATAACTAGCCCCGGACACTATCCAAATTCAAAACTCAAAGCAAACTCTCAATTGAATGTGTACTCATAACACTATAAATTTGAACCATCATAAATCTCTGCAGAACAGATGACATTAGAAAAATGCAGGTACACTTGCATATCACAGTCCATCATAAAAGGAAGTCAGGACAGGAACTAGAGCCTGGAGGCAGGAGCTGATGCAGATGCCATGGAGGGGTGCTGTTTACTGGCCTGCTTCCCCTAGTTTATTAACCCTGCTTTCTTATAGAACTCAGAACCACCAGCCCAGGGATGGTACCACCACCATGGAGTGGACCCTCTCCCATCAATCACTAATTAAGAAATTGGTCTGCAGGCTGGCCTACAGCCCAAGCTTATGGCAGCATTTCCTCAACTGAAACATCCTCCTCTTAAATAACTCTAGCTTAGATCAAGTTGACATAAAACTAGACTGCACAACATACTAATTAAGCAATGATACTGTGTTGGGGGAATTCTGTTAGTTCATTCCCTGCTGGTCAGCCAAAGTTAATCACACAGAAACCATATTAATTACAACACTGCTTGGCCAATGACTTAAGTGTATTGCTAGCAAGCTCTTACATCTTTAAGTAACCCATTTCTGTTATTTTGTATCTTACCATGAGGTCTACTGGCAAGATTCCAGCTGGTGGCTCACGTCTTTCTCCTCTGGCAGCAACATGGTGTCTCATTGACTCAGCCTTCTTTCTCTCAGCATTCAGTTTAGTTTTCCTGCCTAGCTCTATTTTGCTAAGCCATTGGCCAAAGCAGCTTTATTCATTAACCAATAAAAGCAACACATATATAGAAGGACTGGGCACCAGATGATGATAAACATTAAAAAAAAAATCCCACACTATCTCAGAATTGAGTATAATAAAAGGTTACTTATTTAGGGGTAGACTCACAGATCACAGTCCTCTGAATGAATGGGTAACAGGAACCAAATCCAGTGCTGGAAAAGAGAGGGAGTGCGTGATTTACCTCGACATTTATAGTATAAGAGACCATGCCCAAGTGGGCTGGTATCTTAAAGATTTTTGGCTGAAGGAGCTCCCACAGCAATACTGTCTTTTATATACAAGATTTGTAGATATCCAAAACATAGATAAGGGACATTATTGATTATAAGAATATTTGAATAGGAGTACTCTCAGAAAAAGGTGCTTAAGGTACCTTAAAGCAATGCCTAAGTTTGGATGCTCACCTTACTAGGCCTGGATGGAGGTGGGTGGTCCTTGGACTTCCCACAGGGCAGGGAAACTTGATTGCTCTTTGGGCTAACGAGGGAGGGGGACTTGATTGGGGGGGGGGGAGGGAAATGGGAGGCAGTGGCGAGGAAGAATCAGAAATCTTTAATAAATAAATAAAAATTAAAAAAAGCAATGGCTAACCTAATATTATATAATTTTTTAAATTTGATTTTTATTTGCTTGTATGTAGGAGAACCAACTAAAACAAATGTTGCTTAAAGAATGCCATAATGAGGGGTGAGGTAAACAGTTTGGTGTGTAGGAGCACTTGCTTTGCAATCATGAGGAACTGAGTTCAAATCCTCAGCATCTACATAAAAAGCCAAGCATGGCTGCAGGTGCCTGTAACTCAGTGTTTTCATTTTGTTTCTTTTGCCATGATAAAATATCCAGACAAAAGCAAGTTGGGGGCCACCAAAATGGTTGAGTGAGAAAAGGTGCCTGATGTCAAGCCTGAAGATCTGAATTGAATCCCAAGTACCTACATGGTAGAAGAAAAAAGAGAACCAACTCTACAAGTTGTCTTCTGAACTCCACTTGGACACTATGGTAGCATGTGTATCTCTGCACGCACATACACACACACACACACACACACACACACATATACATACACGGGGAAAGTGAAAGAGGGGAGGGAGAGAGGGAGAATAATTTTTTTAAAAGCAACTTAGAGGAGGAAAGGTTTATTTTAATTCATCTCCAGGTTACAGTATATCACAGCAGGTAAGTCAAGGTAGGAACTTAAAAGAACTAGTACTTTACATCCATAGTCAGCAAAAAAAAAAACCTTAATGCATATAT